AATACCTATGTATAACTTCAAATACAATTAACTTAGTATTAAAATAATATAAATGCACTTTTAGCACTAAATTTAACAAAGTATGCCACGAGATTTACTATAAACATTAATAAAATTGTTATTATAAACAATATATGATAATTTTTATTATATTAATGAATATAATAGCCAATATAATAGCTGTTTCTAAAAACAATAACCAAAATGGCGTCCATTTCCGCTGAGTCAACCACTGACGTCACAATGACGTAGAAACATTTGGTTATCAGGACGCAACGGTTAAAACAATACAAAAATGCTTAAATGATCGTCTTTGTTTTAATTTCTTTGGCTTTTTTCCCCCGCGATCTGATTGACTGATAATTAACCAAATAATACCCAGACACTTCTCGGCAAAAAAAAAAAAAAAAAGACGTGGGGTGGGACTGCGTGAGGAGTATCAAATGCAATAAACTGAAGGCGGATTTCGCGAGAAGTAAATGCGATATCGTGACGTGTTGCACGCAGAGTAAGATAAAAATAAACTTCGGCCGAAGCGAATGAAAATGCGATCAGCTTCTAATTATGCAACCGTACTCTTGGTCAGGTTATACGGTGTTTCAGTAACGCTCTGTGCTAAAATTGGCTCATGCATTAATGTTAAATGTCTGAGATGGCGAAATGGTTATCATCTCCGGAAACAGGACTCGACGCTAAAGAGTTCGAATACCATCCAGATTGTTTCGCACAGAAAATAAATCTCAGCACTCTCGAATGAATTATACTAGAAAAGGCATGAATCCAACTCACCCTTATCGATGCCCCGTGTTTTATTACAGTTTTTTTTTCTTGCAAGAACCTTATGACGGTATGCAGATTTCGAATTCATGTTTTTCTAAAAAATATGTCTGTATGATAAATAAGGAAGGCTTGAGTACAACTGTCCCTGTGCTCTGTTCGATTGAGAGTTATCATACCCGGTTAATTGCGGCTCCGTCAAACGACAGAGGCACAACTAAGAAAAATCACACTGTGTGGTACCCAACCCTGGGGAGCAGATGCACCTTCTCATTGTACGAGAGAGAGAGAGAGAGAGAGAGAGAGAGAGAGAGAGAGAGAGAGAGAGAGGATCGGTGCACACAACGAGACCAGCACAATCAACGGTTGCCGGGGCTCGGGGAATTTTTGACTCTAACCCGAGTGTACGCGCTCGGGTTCCCCATCTTAAACCGACCTTGTGTCACAACCTGACTCCGAGCGGGATCGAGTAAATTCCTACCTATGGATCGATTATGGTAACTTATAATTAACTAACTTGCCTAAAATCGACCTTGCTAAGCGAAATGCTCCTCTATGGCTCAATCGGTAAAAGCACGTCAGGCTACGGTTCCATATAGGATACAGTTTCGATTCCTGTCGGAGGACGCATATTTTCTATGACAATTTCTCGGACAATCAGGCCGGTAAATGTTGTTAATACTATTTATTATAAACAGAGCATTTACTCAAGTATTTGTAACTATAAAAAGAACGTATAAACATTGTCTTAAAATAATTGTCGGACTTTGTCCATTTCATAATGTTTATTTCTTTACTAGCAGCATGGCCCGGCGTTGCCCGTGCTTGATTCAAAAATCGTACGACTCATACAGCAATCGCTATCACTTGACTTAAATATTTTTTCCATTCCTTGCATTTAAAGGAGTGCGCTTTGCCGTGCTGATGTTGCTACATGCCTTACTTCTTGCCTATCTCTCACTGCGAATTTTTTCTAAGCTCTATACTAAACATTAAATCTGTTACGAAAAAAGAACTAAACAAAATGAAGACAAAACGATCAGCTTTAAAAAAGGACTCGTAACTGGAAAAACCGAATGAAAAAAGAATGTTAACAACAAATACTTTTTCCACACCCAACCCAGTTCTGCGGAATCAGAATCAACGTTGAGTTTAAGCAAGCGAATGAGCCAATTGGAGTAAAGTGCCATGCAGATTTAAATTTTTCCCACTTGTGACGAATGCATCTATCGATTTTTTTTGCATGCTAGCTTGCTAGTTAACATTCGTGTCAGTCAGCTGTTGGCTCTCACGCTGGCCAATAGAATCTTCCTACCTATTCGTGGCAGCCAGCTATAGACTCTCACTCTGGCCAGTAGAAAATGGTCGCAAACTACATGAAAACTGCCGTAGAAGCATGAAAAAATCGATTATTTCCACTGTCGATGGGAGTTGGGAAATGCAAAGTCGGTCTTGGCCTTCCCGCTAACTTGGAGCAAGTGCATGTAAATTTTGGTGCAAATCCGTCAAAAATTGCGGCTGTGCATTCGTTATACACACACCCACACAAACATACCCCCCCCCGCCAACACACACATCCTGTCTTTTATAGATAGAGATAAATTGGAATTAGTCGGCACCGGCTCGCAATCGAGCATCGGAATCATCATCCTCTTTCCTTATTCCCTTCATCCCCTCTGATTGGCAGTGGCGGGGATAGCAGTGAAGGCCCATCCTACCCCTGAAGTGTCGTGAGCAGGAGACGCAGAAGAGTGTGGGTGGTAGGTGCTCCTGGTAGAGTCAGGCCCTGCTGACATCACATCGCAGATCCTCTTGATGTTGACGGTTGGAAAGTTTCGGTTTCCCGCACGGAAAATCCTACGCCATGAAGGCCGATTTGCAGTAACGCTTTCCCAAGTCTCAGGGGTCGATGTTAGCCCGTGTCAGGAATGTCTCCATCTGATTTTTGAAGCATCGTTTCGGGCTTTTGCGTAGCCTCTTGCCGCTGACGATTTCTCCAAACAGGATGATATGCGGGAGTCAGTGCGACGCATTCTGGACACGTGTAAATGATAAATAAATCTTTATATGATTTAGGGTTTATTTTGTTTTACGGTATATCAGCTTCAGTAGCGTTTTGTAATGCCGACAAGATTTTTAGAATATGTTCGTGTGAATGAAATATATATTCTTTGTAATATATCAGTTTTTAGATCAGGTTTCACTGATGTAGTTTTGTAAAGAGGGTTTTTCTTTCGAGAGTCGGATGTATTGCTGGTAATATCTTTTTTCAAAATTGTATTGCAGCTACTATTTTTTTTCCCCCAAATTGTATTGCTGATACTATTTCTTTTCCCCAAAAATATATTACTGGTATTTTGCTATAAAAACGTATTTTATACTTTTATCGGGTTGTGACCCAAGTTTGGAGGTTAATTATTTTTTAGTTGGTGGTGGTGGTGGTGGTGGTGGGGGGCTAACAAGTGCTAGCACCCTAGATCAGGGTGGACTTGGGAACAGCAGCAGTTAAAGGTGGGGGGTTCCACGCTCCTCAAAACCTCCCGATGTAGTTTATAATCATAACCAGGACGAATAAAATCTTTATAAAAGGTAAATATTTTTTTTTAAATCAGTTAAATAAACATTGCCGAGGGAGTGAACGTAGTTACAAGAATAGCGGTGTAAATGGAAAAGAAAACGTCCTTTTTTTTTTTGGCCGGCCTTCGTGTTCATGTTTTCTGTAAAGTTTCTTACTATCATTATGTAGGGTTTGTAGCAGGTTATTTTTGTGTGTGGGTGGGGGTGAATTTATCACATTACCCAAACTCGTTGATGTTATTTAAAAGGTCCTGCTCCGTAGCTGGGACACTCTGAAAGAAGCTGATCCGTAAAATGAAACCTGAGCGTTTTCAAGTCTTTTTTACCCTGTCTCTCATCCCATGCGGCTGTTTGAATTGGTCAGTGAGGCAAAAGAGGAAATGTTTATTTGACATGCAATGCCTTAGACACTCCTGATTTCAGCACGAGAGGAATGAAATGATTCACTAACGAAGTAAACGGAACTCCGCTTCAGAATTTATTTTCCAGCAACGGTAGGAATGGTTTCAATACCTTACAGGGGAAGGAGCCAGCTTATTCCGTAAAGGAAATATTTAACTTGAACCCCCAAAAAGCTTAAAGGAAACGCATTAGACCAAGACACCGCTGGTTGGACATTATGACCCTGCACCTTCGCCATATATGTCAATGTTATCTAGCCATAAAAGAGAAAATAAACAGGTTCCAATTTTGAAGTGTCTTTTCACATGTTGAGGGAACCCCGCAGACTAAATACTACTACTACTACTAATAATAATAACTAGTTTTAACCCGTGAAAATGTCAGTTTTCCTATTTTAATATTTTGATAAATCTTAATTATTAAGTGAATAATCTTCCTAACATCATTAACTGTCTTTGTTGCGGAAATGACTGAGAATTTTCCTCTGGAACCATAACATGGTATTTAAGCCCAGGTAAAAAGAAAGATTCCGGGATACTGATAGTTAAAATAGGCAGACCCTCTCCCCTTTCAAGAACAATACAATCTACCTCTCTCTCTCTCTCTCTGAATATATATATATATATATATATATATATATATATATATATATATATATATATATAATTCATTAAATAATACAGAAAAGTGTTGACTATTTAATTTATGTAAATTCTTTTGATAACGTCTGATAAACTTAATAACATTATCATTAAACGAAGAAAGAAAATCACAATATTGATATATATTTTTAATCCATTCTAAGATTTCGACACATAAGCCATTATCAAAGATGTCAATTACTGTACAATATATTAAGCAATACACGGACAAGAAATAATTTCATTCCTCTCGTGCTGAAATCAGGAGTGTCTAAGGCATTGCTTGGAAATCATCCATGTAATCAGAAACAGACTATCATCACTTTCTTGTCCGTGTATTGGTTAATATATTGTACAGTAATTATCATCTTTGATAATGGCTTATTCGTTTAATGATAATGTTATTAAGCTTATCAGACGTTATGAAAAGAATTTACATAAACTAAATAGTCAACACTTATCTATATTATTTAATGAAACATGTATGAATGAAAATGTTTCTTACCCCCAATATATATATACATATATATATATATATATATATATATATATATATATATATATATATATATATATATATATATATATATATATATCATTCAGCAATATCTATCTATCTATCTATCTATCTATCTATCTATTTCAGTCTTTTCATATCTATCTATCTCTCTCTCTCTCTCTATATATATATATATATATATATATATATATATATTTAATTCCCAAACCTATCTATCTATCTATCTATCTATCTATCTATCTATCTATCTATTTCACCCATTCATGCGGGCACACACACACATATATATATGTATGCATATAAGTGGGCACTAAGGTCAAAGCAGAGCGGCGATAGTTTGCACACAGGTTAACACGCACACTAATATACATATATACGCACACACACACACAGGCACACACATACAAATACATGTACATTTTCCCTGTGAACTTGCGGACCGTGTTCGCCTACAGACGTTAAAAAACAGGATTTTGGATATTATTTTCCAAGCATGGTTTGCCCCCTCCTCTCTTCATCGATTTTTGTTTTTTTTTAATTTCGCCTTGCGCAATGTAAAAATAAACTGTTTCTATAATCCAGAGTATTTTGTTCACTCAGGTGTCGATCGAGCGAAAGAAAAAGAGCATCAGCCTCCTCCGAACGAATTTGTAATGACCAACATGACGTAATGAAGCCATTTAAAAATAGTCATAATGAAGAAAGGAAGCATTTAAGATTTTGCCCTGGTCAAATCGAACAGATGAGTCTTCAAGAGCGGAACTAGTACAACAAGGCGTCGAACAGAAAGATTAAAGAAGGCGAGAGAATTGTGACGAAAATCTTCGGCCGCCCAATAAAAAAAAAAATAAAAAATCATAAATCAATGATATCTCAAAAAATCTCTAAAATGATCTCCCCTCTACCTAAGAAAAAATTCTTCTCAAAGAGTTAATTATAAATTAATTTGAAGAATATTTGGTCAACATGTTTGGGTGAAATCTGGAAATTTGCCTGCCAATGGAGACGCAATAAACCGAGTGGCGTAATTTGTAATAAACAGTACTGTTCTTTCAGAAATCATAGGGAAAATTTGATCTATCTATTCGTTCGTTCTTTCTTTCTTTCTTTCTTTTCGCAGCCTGTTCATGCTTGGTCAGCTTATTTGCATCTATCTATCTATCTATCTATCTATCTATCTATCTATCTATCTATCTACCTATCTATCTATCTATTTCAGGCCGTTCATATCTAAATATCTTAGCCTGTTCATTTCTATTTTAACTTGTTCGTATATCTATCTATCTATCTATCTATCTATCTATCTATCTATCTATCTATCTATCTCAGGCCGTTCATATCTATCTATCTTACCCTGTTCATTTCTATTTTAACTTGTTCGTATATCTATCTATCTATCTATCTATCTATCTATCTATTTCAGGCCGTTCATATCTAAATATCTTAGCCTGTTCATTTCTATTTTAACTTGTTCGTATCTATCTATCTATCTATCTATCTATCTATCTATCTATCTATCTATCGATCTATCTATCTATCTCGTCTCGTTATTTTTAGTGGATACCCATATTTGAGTAGATACTCCATTTATTTTAAACAGTATTTTATTTTGTCTACTAACCTGACCTGCACAATCAAGGAAACTTATTAAATAAATTTAAATAAATTGTGACCTACGATAGGATTCGAACCTGCGTCTCCCTTTGCAGCAGAAACCACCGTTTGATCCGACGTGTTTGACGGTTTGGCTACGATGAGCATCGCAATCAAGTATGGTTGTATTTGTCTCTCTTTTATGTGCAGGCGGGTAGACGAAATAAAATACTGTTAATCAAACGGAGCGTCTACTTAAATACGGGTATCCTTTAAAAGTAACGTTTGATGTAATACAAATATGTCGGATTAAAAAATAAGATCCATGAATTTTTTAGAGATTGCTTTGTTTACGTTTCGGATACGAAACTATGGGGTTATGACTTTCGACCTAATCTGAACGAGTGAATGTGCTCTAAAACAAGCAAAACTATGATCGATTGCGAAGTATAACTTACATGTGGTTTGCTTTGATTTGTTCTTATGGGTCATTTAATATCGAAATTTGCTTTGGTAATTTTTTTTTCCAGTAATGTATTGTTGATAATTTATTTATTTATTTTTTTTTACTATGAAAATGTATTGCTAGTAATTTTTTTCTAATATATTTTTATATTTTTCGGATACGAAACTGAGCAGACATGAAGCACTCGAGAATATAAACTTGGTGAAGGGGATGTGTCTTTCCTTAAAAAAGGAAAATAGTACCTTGTTTAATAAGACGTTCTTTGCGAGCGGGAAACGCGTTTTCTTTCTTAAGATTTTTTGAATGCGAAGGCCGATAGACGCAATACGCTATTTAATAAATAAACATGTTTCGGCTATTTTAAATACGAAGTATCCACTGTGATAACGTTTGAAATAAGAAAATCTGTTGGATTAAAAATATATCCATTAATTCCTTACAAGTTGCTACATATATATATATATAAGAGGACCGATATTACTTAACAGTGCAGTACTATAAAAAACACATATTTATTTATTAAACAGTGAGTATTACCTCTATCGACATGTGCATTAAAAAGACAAATAAAATTTTGGAAATTGCTGTTTACGTTTCGAGTGAATGTGCTCGAAATCAGGCAAAACCGGGCTCGATTACGAAGCATAGCTTAGCTGTGGTTTGGTTTCGTTTGTTCAACATTCTTGTGGGTCATTTTAATTTTATAATAATATCACAAACCCCCACAACCTTCTCTGTTGGAATTTGGGACTCCCTGTATTGTGTGTTGGCTGAAATTGGATGTGGTTAATATACGTTTTAGGTTTTTTGATTGACGTTTGCTTTTAATTATTTTGGTTGGTTTTTAGTATATTTTATCATTTTTATCATTCTTGTTAAGTAGGTTCAGATTTCTTGTAATTTCTGTAAATAATTCTGAATTGTTCTTGTTGTATGTTGAAACATATGCTAGAGTTTGTTCAACGTTACGTTTCTTTGGATTTCGTAGTTGGTCTGAAGGTATTTTTTCTGCGAGTTCAAAACAATTGTTTATTAGTGTTGTGGGGGTAGCCTCATTTTTTGAAAGCGTTGTTCTAAGTGGGTTTTTTCGGAGGTGTTTGTCAATCACTATAGAGTAAACCCTTTCTCTTTGGCACGCGTGTCAAACATGGCACGCCGATGACTTGTTTCTGGCACGCGAATTAGATTCCTTTTTATTCATTAGATTCCCTTTTATTCTATCTCCTCTTGTATCTATATCATTATTTTATATATTTTTGTCCTTTACAGATTGTGAAGAGTGTCACGATCATCAGCTAAGAAACGATGTCATTCAAATGAAGAAGATATTAGAGAATTTCAAGACTACTGGACTAAAAAATCTGGTATGGTTATTAAAGAAAATAAAGCCTTATCCATTTTCTGTTCCGTAACAATGGTTTGTAGGAATTATTCTGATAAGGGACGGTTTGAAAATGTTCATAAGAACTTAAGCAATAAAACTGAAGAGGAAAAAAAAAGAGAATGAATACCTCTTTAACTGAGCAAGACAAAAAAAAATGGCTGATACTTTTCGGAAGCATATTTCAGGTAGGCCCAGTTTCAAATCATTGTCGCTAATGATGAGGTTTCAAAGATCTTTGGTGGCACGTGGAAAAAATTGTGTCGGAGCTTTGGCCGGTTTTGGCACGCACTCTCAAAACGATTGCCCACCCTTTCGTTAAACCAGCCGTACACCCAACCTTACGATACCTGGTATTTACAAGCAGTCACCCATCAAGTTACTGACCAGGCTCTACGTTGTTTAACTTCGGTGGTCGTTTGGTATGTAACCGTAAGCCACTAAAAATAAAGAATCAGCACTCTTAATATCTATTAGGTTGGTGCAAAAATAATGCCGTAATAATGTCGTTTTTTGACGTATTTTTTAACGTAAAAAACGACATTATTACGTCATTATTTTTGCACCAACCTAATAATTTAGCTACCCACAGTTTTAAGGTCTAATTTATCCTCATTTCACTTTATATATGTTAAGGCCCTTAATACGTATTTCATAGGGTCATATTTCTTAAAAAACATTCATTTCATGAGGGGGACAAATAAAAGAAATAGACAAACAAGAATATTTAAAACTTATTATCTGATTTACCCCCCACCCCCAGTTTCCAATAGAGATTTTTTGTGTCCTTCTTATTAATGCTTCTTCTTCTTCTTCTTCTTCTTCTCTTTAATGATTATTATTATTAATGCTTTTCTTCTTTTTCTTCTTCTTTTTCTTCTTCTTATTAATGCTTCTTTTTATTTTTATTCTTTTTCTTTTACTTCTTAATCATTCTTCTTATAATTCATGCTCCTTCTTTTTACTTCTTCTTCTTCTTCTTTTTCTTCTTTTTTCGCTTTTTGTTCCTAATGCTTATTATTATTATTATTATTATTATTATTATTATTATTAATGCTTCTTCTTTTTTTACTTCTTCTTAATTCTTCTTCTTAATTCTTCTTTTTTCTTCTTCTATCTCTTCTTCTTATTATTATTATTATTATTAATGTTTTTCTTATTATTATTAGTGTTTATTCTTTTTCTTCTTCTTTTTTTACTTCTTCTTAATGCTTATTATTATTATTATTATTATTATTATTATTATTATTATTATTATTTTCTTTGATTTCTGGCGTTTCCACATTTCTTTCCGGGTCCCGGCCAGGGACCTAAGGTTAGAAATGGCATCATGACACTTTCCACTGACAAAAAATAAAATAAAATATTACATAGATAAAGCCCTTCGTAAAGGTGTGGGCTGTACTTGTGAGAACAATTTTTTGTATCTCCTTGAGGCATGGACTTCCCGGAATCCCTTCAATTAGTCTACTGGAGTCTTTTCCAACCATTCGTAGGGATCCAACTACAACAGGGATTGTTGATGTTCCCATATGCCACATTTTTGAGATTCAAGATTTCAAGGTATTATTATTATTATTATTATTATTAATGCTCCGTCTTCTTCTTTTTACTTCTTCTTCTTATTAATGTTTCTTTTTCTTCTTTTTTACTTCTTCTTCTTCTTAAAATTATTATTATTATTATTATTATTATTATTATTATTATTATTATTATTACTAATGCTTCTTGTTTTTCTTCTTCTTCGTCTTATAATATTATTATTAATAATTCTTTTTCTTATTATTATGAGTAATTCTTCTTTTTCTTCATTTTACTTCTTCATGCTGTTTCTTCTTCTTCTTCTTCTTCTTCTTCTTCTTCTTCTTCTTCTTCTTAATGTTTCTTATTATTATTAATGCTTCTTCTTCTTCTTCTTCTTTTCGTTTTAACTGTTTAGGGAAAGCCGGGGGTAAATCAGATCGTGGGGTGAAAAGAACGTGTTTGGGGGAATGGGACGTGGATTTAAACAGAAAGAATATCAATAGTAACTGTAATCAAAGACAGGATTCGTGTATTGTAATAAAAGCCTCAGGAAAAGCAGCCTACCTTCATGCAAAAGTGTTTCTACAACACTTATATCCTGGTAAGGTGATGGAAGCGACTGCTACCTTGGTGCCCTACAGTGTCTCTAGAGACCGGCTTACTTACCTGCAAAGAAAAAAAGAAGTTTTTTTTTTAAAAACATAGAAATCAAATCAATAACAATTATTATTATAGTTATCAAATGAATAGAAATTATTATTATTTCTTTTCAATTCTGTTGTATAAACATTTTCTTCCGCGTCCCAACCAGACAAGTAAAATCAAAACTGACTTCATGGCATTTTCCACTGAGCATTTTTGTAAAAAAAACAAAAAAAATAACAAAAAACAAAGATCACACACATTTTACATAGATAAAATTCTTCGTATTTGTTGTAACCTAGAATGGGTTACTGAATGAGGAATAACCAAAACGGAGGTTGGAAATGAAATGATAATCTTTATAACATCAACAAAATACAATACTCGCCAGCGGCGTGAAGTAGGTAAACCACTGCTAATGGTGGACTACGTAGACACCATATTACCCCCACTTACCATAATGTTCAACATATTAGTGTTCATAGGTACGGTATATAACATTATTATTATTATTATTATTATTATTATTAAATAAATAGAAATTATTAATATTATTATAGAAATCAAATGAATAGAACTTATTATTATTATTACAAGAAGCAAATGCTTAGTAAGTATTTTTATTATA